GTGAGACTAGGAGGAGTTAGGTACAGGGCAGCTATTGACAATCTGGAAACTGAGTGCACAGACCCTGAAATGGAAGATCACTACAAAAAACTTCTCAGTGAATGGAAAAAGGACGAGGACAACATTAAAGATGAGCTGAAAGAGATCGGAACCAAGATGACAGATGTCATGAGAAAACTTGATGATTTAACAGCAGCAACTGTGAGTAACAGAAAGGAATCAGGTGATGAAGGTAAGCTTAATGATTCAATTTTTAAGTTACTTAGATAAATGAAGTTCGTCAATTCGTTCGCACTTCATACACAGGGGTTGGGAGTTCCTAGCAAGGGAGGCACTCCTTAACGTAAGACATACAACTATATACCGTGCTAACAGGCATGGTGTTAATCTAGAGCCACTTTCGGTTTGAAATGTACACTGGATTAATTCATGAGACCACCAATACTGAAATTTTGTAGTCTGCTTACTAGTCTGAATCTAATATTGAACATATTGACTTAGAAAAAATAGCATATTAGTTTTACTACTGTACGAACACCTACTTTATAGTTCTTAAGTCACGAGGTCTTTTTTGTTCACCAGAGTTTTATCGCATGTCGCCATGTTTGTGTCGAAAACAAGAATGAGCGCCTCGACTCTTCTTTAATTTAGTAAGCGCCCCCGCTCTAGTGAGCGCCTTATTGTAATTATGAGCTACCAAAGGCAAATTAGTCCCCAGGGCGCTAAATAGAATCGTTCAAGTATGCTTATGTAAATGTAAGTAATCTACATCAAGCTAGAAAGTATAATCTCAAAATCGAGTTTCATGACCGTGACGGTGTTTGGATACCTGATCTTAATTAGCAAAGAGTTTTACCATTTTATTCCTCCGTTTTCTCCCTAGGTTTAGTTTGACCACATTTTCAAACACCTCGAAGTTCATCAAAAATACTCCGCTACGCACGCATGGTATTTTCAACTCTATTCTCGGTGTTTGGAAATATGGTCAAACACAGTCTTTCGTGTTTGATATATTACTTAAGAATCGGACTAGCCATAAAACTATGACCACCTCACAATAACCTGGCTTGCCAATCATACACTACTTACAATATAACGCAGTTCCTTTTTTTCATTTCCCTAATTTATTTTATTAATAAACGTTATGGGTTGAGATCGATTGGGACCCGATAGCATTTTCATCGGTGGCAACCGAAAAACGTGTAGCTTTCGAAAACTCTTCTTAGTTAGTAACTATGCGAAGAAGAGAATGTCATTTTTTGTTGGGTCCAGCACTTAGTGTTAGAGCACATTACAAGTCTCGTTTCACCAGGTTTTTTTCATAACTGTTGTGCTTTTTAAGGTACATGTTCGAAACTGGAAGAATTGGTGGCCACATCTGTCATGTGTAAAGAGAAACATCACGAGAATGAGCCCCTCAATTATTATTGTCAGAACTGCAAAGTTTGCATTTGCGACAAGTGTGGACAAACGCGTCATGCAAATCACACCAAGGTGGGTATCAAGCAAGCCGCAGAGGAACAAAAACTAATGATGGCGGAGCTTGTGCAGGAAATGAAACGAAGGATTGCTGAGCACACGACACAAATGGAGGAAACAACAGAATTGTTGAGGAAAAACAGAGAAAAAATTGCTTCCGCTCGTAACAAAGTATCAACCACTGTCGAAGAACACATTCGAGTTTTAAAGGAGCACGAGATCGCCATGGTGACCAAGTTGGATGTTATTGAAAAAGAACAACAAAGAGATCACGCAACACAGTTAGAACACTTTCAGATATCTGCCACGCAACTGAAAATGTCTATGGAACATTGCGAAAGAATTTTACAAGGAAACAGCAGCGTTGAAATTCTTGAAGCGCAGCAGGGTGTCATGGAAAGGTGTAAAGGTCTCCTAAATGCAAGAAAAATGAACATTTATCAACCATCGCATGTTCAGTACAAGGCAAATGAAGAGGATATCCAGAATGTTAGACACGTGTTTCTGGGTGAAGTTATTGTTAGTACAACTGATCCTCTTCAATCAGTGGCGGAAGGGGAAGGCTTAAAAGAGGCAGAAGCTGGAAGAGAAGCTAGCCTGACAGTCACAACAAAGAATGCAGAGGGACAACAGTGTTATAATGAAATCGATCAGATTGTTGTAAAAGTTCACAGTCCGTCAGAACAGGACCTCGACACCGACATTAATGACAGCAAAGATGGTAAATATAGCATCACCTACACACCCGATTGTGATGGACATCATGACGTGGTGATTGAAGTAAATAGTCAACCGCTGACTGGTTGCCTAGGAAGTATTCACGTGAAGCCGCATCAATACGATGCCGTAGGGTCTTTTGGATCACGTGGTACAGCACAAGGAAAATTTGGTTACCCCTGCGATATTGCAATAAATGACAAAACAGGGAAAATTGCAGTAGCTGATTCTTCTAATGAAAGAGTACAACTCTTTAGTTCAGATGGAACCTATTTAAGAGAGTGTAGTCAGAAGGGACCTGCTGCTAAGAAACTTAAATACCCTACTTCAGTAGCATTCAACAGGTCTGGCGACGTCATCATCTGCGATTTTTGTATCTTGTGGTTCAATGAAAGCGGCCAGTTTATTAAAAGCATCTTCAACAAACAATTGATCAAACCAGGAAAGATGACCATTGCTTGTGATGACCGCATGCTGGTGTGTGACCGAGGTGACAACACGGTCAAAGTCCTCTCCCCTGACGGTACAGAGTTATTACAGTCCTTCAGGGCTCCGGATTGTGATGCGTACCCATGTGTAGCTTTACGTCATCAAGACATGTTCTATGTCTCCTATGGCTCAGCTCACTGCGTGAAGGTATTTAATAATGAAGGAGAATTTCTATATGACATTGGTACAGAAGTGTCCAGTGGGCTTCGATGTCCTGTGGGACTCGCCGTTGACAAGTTTAACAACTTGATAATCTGTGACAGTGCAAACGGCAATGTCCTAGTTTTTACACTGGAAGGAGAATTTCTACACTGGATCAAAGGAAAACCAACCGAACTTAAGCAACCTTGGGCTGTTGCTGTATCGTCAAACGGTGGACAATTGTTCATTACTGATATGGTCAAACACTGTGTGCATGTTTTTGAGTAAACAACTGTTTGAGCCTTTTCGATTTATTATATGTATGGAAACTTGGAGTAGTTTTGTATTGGTTTTGGGGTGCGGCTTTTCAAAAGCTCGGTCAAGAAACATTCTTCGGCCGAATTTTCTATTTACAGACTACACGATAATAACACATATTACCAATAGTTGAATTTCTCTAAAAGGTTAAGTTTACTGGTATAGCGATATAGTGGTATATTTCTTTTTAAATACGGTTGATTGTCACGAAGTGTAGTCAGAAATAGTCGTGCGTTTTTGTCATGAGCCCCTGGTTCGGGGGATTGGGCAACCACTCCCTACCTAATGCAAACTTGCACAGAAATCCTAAAAACAACAATGAATGTTTCGTGCGTAGGACCACAATTCACTTCAAAATAGTTGGTAATTACTTTGAAAGGTATGTGGAGCTCTTCATTACTACGATCGATTAGCTACGCTGAGAAATTGTAAAAGAGAACCCAGTCCCTTAATTAGTTACTGTTTAACAGATCATTGCTTACTGTCATAAAAGGCAAATTAATTCATTAGTTGCTAACGAATTCACTTCACTTGACTGATGTCAATATATTCACTTGTGTTGAGTTAGGCAGGGGTAATAAACGGTAGAAGTTTCCATTTATTTCCACACCTTGACAATCTCTTGTTTTTTCTTACTGTCACAAGGGAGAGGTTTGCAGGTTTTTAACCCTTTATATCGAAAAAATACCCTGTACCAGAATTACACTCCTATAGTCAGATTCCGCACTATTCAAAAACATGCAGTTCTATTTTTAATACTAATTTTCTCAATTTTGCCAGAAAGAACTCGGCTACTTTAACAGCTATTGGAGTTCTGAATGGGTGCGAGGAACCAAAGAACCTTATCAGGACAACTTAGGGGTGGACCATTTGATTTTTGAAGGGGGTGGGTTATTAAGAAAAACAAAATATATATCCTGCAAGCTTACTTGTACCAAAAAAAACTCATGCACGTAACCGCTACCAAAAGAGCATTCAAAATGGCTTGAAAAATGGATCTCGTCTGTAAACAGGGGCAATTTTGATGACACTAAACTGAGTTTTTAAAGCGCAGGTCACATGTCATTATTTATTTATCGAGCTAGTAACATAAACAAGACGAGTCCAATGATTGTTAACATTGTTGAAAACCAAATTTTGGTTTATTACAATGCAGAG